TTGGGGGGGCTGGGGCTGCGGGGGGGCACTGCCCTTGCACAGGGAGGCTGCTGCTTCTGGGGGGTCACGGTGCTGTCACTGTCACCAGTGGGGCCCCCCCTGCTCTGCGGTCCCCACACTGCCCTGGGGGGTCCTGGGGAGGCGAGGGGGTGACCCCCAAGCTGGGGACACAGTGTGGGGGGGTCTGGCCACACCTCCGTTCTGGGGACTGTCACAGCAGTGGTGAGGACAGGGGGTGTCCCTGGGGGGTCCTTCTGGTGTCCCCCCACACCCTTGTCCCTCGCGGTCCCACAGTGACCTGGGGCGGTCCTGGGGGGCGATGCTCAGTCCTGGGGGGCGATGGGGTGACCCCCCAAGCTGGGGACACAGTGCTGGGGGTCCGGTCACCCCTCTGCAAGGGACAGGTCCCAGCAGCAGTGAGGACACACGGGGTGCCTGGGACTGTCCCCACCGTGTCCCCTCACATCCTTGTCCCTCACGGTCCCACGGTGACCTCGGGGGGTTTCCCGGGGTGATCTCGGTCTTGGGGGGCGATGCCATGACCCCTCAAGCTGGGGAAACAGTGCTGAGGGTCCGGCCACCCCTCCTGCCTGGGGACTGTCACGGCAGCAGTGGGGACATGGGGTGTTCCTGGGACTGTCCCCATGGTGTCCTGCCAGTGTCCTCGCACAGCCTCGTCCCTCGCAGTGCCCTCGGCAGGTCCTGGGGGGCAGTGGGGTCACCCCCAAGCTGGGAACACGGTGGTGCGGATCCAGCCACCCCTCCTGCCTGGGGACCATCCCCACTGTGTCCCCTCACGCGCTCGTCCCTCGTGGTCCCGCAGTGACAGTGACCTCGGCAGAGGGGGGACGGCGGCAACACTCAGTCCTGGGGGGCAACGGGGTGACCCCCAAGCCGGGGACGCGGCAGTGGGGTCCGGCCACCCCTCCTTCCCGGGGACAGCTCACGGGACGTCCCGGGGCCCGTCCCCGGCGCCACTCACACCACGATGGGGGTGTCGGAGAACACCGAACTCACCGAGTCGGGGTCAGACACTTTCCTCTGCCCCTTGGGGCCCCGGGGGGCGGCCGGCGGGGGGGTCCCCCCCCCTCCCTTGAACCTGCCGTTCTGCCCGGGGCCGCCCCCCGGGGCAGGCCGGGGCTCGCCGTGCCCCCCGTCGTGGTTGGGGGTGGTGCTGAGCACCGAGGAGTTGATGCTGTCGTCGCGCGGCGCCGGTGCCTTCTCGGCGGCGCGGCAGCAGCAGCAGCGGCAGGGGGTCAGGTACAGGTAGATGAGCACCAGCACCACGCTCAGGATGCAGCCCACCAGCGTGGTGTAGGCCGTGTTCAGGGTGTCGTGGGGGCCGTGCAGGGTGAAGTTGTGCACCAGCAGCTCCACGTAGAGGGTCTCGTTGAGCAGCGGCCCCGCCACCCAGCACGCGTAGGTGCCCGCGTCCTCGGCCCGCAGCGCCCGCAGCTCCAGGCTGCCGTTGGCCAGCAGGGCCGCCGTGCCGTTGCCGCCGCCGTCCCCCGGCATCACCCTGTCCCCCGCCGGCGTCACCCAGTGGCGGCTGCCGTCCTGCCAGCGGCTGTCGCAGCCCAGGGTGACGCTGTCGCCGAGGTGAGCCTCCAGCACGGCCTCGCGCGCCTCGCTGCAGTTGAGGGGCTGCCGCCCCGCCAGCTCCAGGATGGCCACGGAGGCGTGCGGGGAGCCGGGCAGGTGGCACGTCAGCTCCTCCTGGAAGTCCAGCACGGCGCTGAGGCGGCGGCGGCGGCCGCGGGCGAGCAGCTGGAACAGGGCGCAGTTGCAGCCCAGCGGGTTGTCGTGCAGGTAGAGGCGGTCGCGCAGCCAGGCGGGCAGCGCCTGCAGCTCCCCGGCGGGCACTTCGCGCAGCCGGTTGGCCGACAGGTCGAGCAGCGCCAGGCGCGGCAGCCGCGAGCCCTCGCGCAGCAGCTCCAGCGGGAAGCGGGCGATGCGGTTGCGGCCCAGGTAGAGCTTGCGCAGCTGGCCCAGGTTCTCGAAGGCCGTGCGGTCCACGCTGGAGATCTCGTTGTTGTAGAGCAGCAGCACCTCCAGCTCGCCCAGGTCACTGAACAGGTTCTCGTCGAGCGCGCGCAGGCAGTTGTTGGACAGGTCGAGGTGGCGCAGGCGGGGCACGGCCGCGAAGGCCTCGGTGGACACGAAGGCCAGCCTGTTGTGGCTCAGCAGCAGCGTGTGCAGGTGCGGGAGCCGCGCCGGGCTCCAGTCCCCGCGCAGCCGCGACACGTTGTTGTGGCTCAGGTCCAGCACGGAGGCGAAGCGCGGCAGCGGCGACGGCACCAGGCTCAGGTTGGCCTGCGAGCAGCTCAGCAGGTTGGAGGCGCAGATGCAGTGAGCGGGGCAGGACCCGCCCGCCGAGACCCCCGGGCACAGCAGGGCCAGGGCCAGCAGCAGGGACAGTGGGGACGGCGGGGACGGCGGGGACGGGGCACCCCCGGGCGTGCCCATGGCTGCGCGAGGGCACGGGGCAGCTGGGAGGACACCCGGGGTGGGGGACGGGGCGGGTTCAGTCCCGTCCCAGGTGGGGTTGGTTGGTCACCCCGTGTCCCCAGGAGGGGTGGGTCAGTCACCCAGAGTCACAGTCCGGGGTGGGTTGGTCACCCAGTCACAGTCCAGGGTGCGTTGGTCACCCAGAGTCACAGTCCGGGGTGGGTTGGTCACCCCGTGTCCCCGGGTGGGGTGAGTTGGTCACCCGGTGGCACAGCACAGGGTGGGTTGGTCACAGCATGTGCCAGGCTGGCTGGTCACCCGGTGTCACGGTCCAGGGTGGCTCGGTCACCCAGTGTCACAGCAGGCTTGGGGCTCAGCCAGTGTCACCATCCAGGGTGGCTTCAGTCACCTGGTGTCACAGCCCGGGGTGACTGTCACTGACCAGTCTCTGGTCCCCCAGTGGTGCAGGGTGCAGTGGCTGTCACCAGTGTCACACTCTGTGCTCCGGGGTGGCTTCAGTCACCCGCTGTCACAGCCCGGCCGGGCTCAGGGCTCACGTGGTGTCACAGCACTGGGTGGCTCTGCCACTTGGTGTCACAGTCTGGGGTTGCTCTGTCACTCAGCGTCACAGTGCTGGGTGGCTGTGGTCCCTCAGCGTCACTGAGGGGGTGGCTTTGTCCCCCGGTGTCACGGCATGGAGAGGCTGAGGTCCCCTGGTGTCACACCGTGGGGTGGCTGTGGTCCCTCAGTGTCACGACATGCGGTGTCTCTGTCCCCGGTGTCACAGGTGCAGTGTCTCTGTCCCCGGTGTCACAGGTGCGGTGTCTCTGTCCCCCGGTGTCACACCGTGCAATGGTTCTGTCCCCGGTGTCACACCGTGCAGTGTCTCTGTCCCCGGTGTCACACCGGGCAGTGTCTCTGTCCCCGGTGTCACAGGTGCAGTGTCTCTGTCCCCCGGTGTCACGACATGCGGTGTCTCTGTTCCCCGGTGTCACACCGTGCAGTGTCTCTGTCCCCGGTGTCACAGGTGCGGTGTCTCTGTCCCCAGTGTCACAGGTGCGGTGTCTCTGTCCCCGGTGTCACAGGTGCAGTGTCTCTGTCCCCCGGTGTCACACCGTTCAATGGTTCTGTTCCCCGGTGGTCCCTCAGTGTCACAGTGGGGGGTCGGGGTCGGTCCCCTGGTGTCACAGGTGCCACGGGGTCACTTCCCACGCGGGTCACAGTGCGGGGTGGCCCTGTCCCCGCTGTCACGACATGTCCCCGCTGTCACGACATGTCCCCGCTGTCACGGTCCGCCCGGTTCCCCC